CTCTTGGACTCTTGCTTCTGTCAAATATGTAATTCTGGTGAAAGTACTGTTTAAAAAAAAAAAAAAAGAGGAATCCGCAAAAGAAAAACAAAGGTGCAAGAAAGGCTAGCGCGCGGCGGCGTTCGGGAAGCAAGAAGCTAAGTATTCTTGCAGACCTTTCCGTTTATTCTAGCTCGCAGAAAATATTTACGAGAATTGAAAAATGAGAAAAACACAAGTGAATATAACAAAATATGCAAGAATGTTTTTTCACGAAATTTGTCCCCAGAAATAATATAATACACTTAAATTTTTATGGCTTCTCGCGGAGTAGGTGCATAATTGATATACAAAAAAATTATATTTCTTGTGACAATTATTTAATATCTCATATTGTCAATTGATTTGTATTCAAGTATTGTTGGACTCTAAATGAGATGTATTTTCTAGTATGGTTTTTTAAAAACTTATTAATCCACAAATTTTGAATTTTTGATTTTATTTAAAAGGTAAAAAATTTACATCCATCACAAATTACATATAACTCGAACTTCCTGTGATGTCACCTTCAAGTATTATCTTCACCTTAATTTTACTAAGAGAGAGCATTTAAAGAATATTCTGGAGGCATGAACTTACTCGTGTCTCTCCAAATAAGTCAATATAATTAATGATTCATTCGAAACATGGCTGTTAGTCTATTTAAATTTGACATTGGTCCACTTGGTTAAACTTAATCAAACACTTCGAAACTTAACCCTAATCATCAAACTTCTTTTATACACAACGCGGTTCCAACTTCGTCTGCATCTTAACAAATTTGGCAATTATATGTAGCTGGTTACAACTTACAAGTTTTTCAAACCTAATTAACGTTTACACACTATTTTCTTTAATTGGTAAAATATTATAGCAAAAATTGTTCTTTTTTATGGATAAACTAAAAATTTGTTGTGTAGATGCTTTTAAACAAGAATGTAGCAAATGGAGGAAATTTTTCATTTTTTAAATAAAGAATTACTTGTGGTATTATATATTTTAAACCTAAAAGAATGTCCATGAAAAAGCTCAATGGCTAATATATACTCCTCTAGTCTTATTTACAGGGTAGAGAAAGAAGAAAAAAATTGGTCATATTTATAGAGCACTTGTTAATTTTCAATGCTCCTCTTTACATGTTTGCCTTTACTAAATGCTTTGAATAAAAATATCAGTAATAAAATTTAAAAATATTTATCAAGAATAAAGATGAAAACTTGTTAAAATTTAAAATAAAATTAATGAGATTTAAGACTTTTCTTGGTTTTGGTAAAACATATTGGAAATGATTTATAATAAAAAAAGGGTAATTTTGGAATGTTACAATATTTTTGAAAATGATTTATAAATAAGAACCTCTTCTCTTCGGTAGGTGATAAAGCTCTTAGGTTTTCCAAGGCACTGAATGATGTAATAAAAAAAAGTAGATATTAATTAAATTTTTTAATAAAGGGTAATTTTGGAATGTTAAAATATTTTTTATTAAAATAAATGAACTCTTTTGCTTAATGAGTGACTTGATAAAAAAAATCTTATATAAACATAATCAAAGGGAATGATATTAAAGATGTAACAATCACTAGCTAATTAATTAGTACTCCCTTCGTTTAAAAATATAAGACATTTTTAATTTTTTAAGATGTAATTATTACTTTTTTTTTAAAAGTGTCCTATTAAATAGATTGCTTTATATTTTCTTTAGATGAAACACCCTATTAAATAGGGGTAAATATGAAAAGATAAATTTAGCTTAAAGTCAAATAATTATTTTATTGAGAAGTAAGATTCAGTTAAAAATGCTTTATATCTTTAATCGGAGGGAGTAAATTAGTAGGACTAGATTCATTGCATTCCTTGAATTTTTATTCTAATTTTGTCAATAAAATTTCCATTGTTCGCTTTCACCTATCGTTTGTCAGCATGACATGTTACGCTCTACATGTCAAATTATATTAAAAACTATTCCTGCTATGATTTGTGAATCAATATCAACATAAATAATACAATAAATTATAGTGGCTTTTGCATATATATATATATATATATATGTTATATGATCAAACCAAGTAAATAATTTAATATTTATTATATTTTGCATTATAATCAGTTTATTATATTTATCAATGATATATCACTAATGATAAATTTTTTATAAATTTTTAAATTTTCAATGATAAATTTTTTATAAATCAATGTAAAGCAACTATACTTTCAAACATGGTTCATATTTTTTAGGCGCAAGATTTCTTTCACTCTGTGAGCCAATTTATCCTAAATTATAAAATTTATGAGTCATAAAAACGCACACAGTTGATTTCAAGCTGTGTAACTCTAATTCACTGTAAAAGTATTGCCTCCATTTTAAAATATAAGAAAAAATAACTAATATATTTTAAGATAGTTGGTTTAGTATATATGACAATTATATTTGAAATTTAAAGTTTTTTATTAAATTATCCCTGTAATCAATGAAATAAATTTGTCTCGTGAAAATAAATCTTATTGACTTTATGGAGGGGCAATTTGAATAAAATATAATAAATGTTTCTAAGAAAGTATATGACATCTCTCTTGTAATAAATAATGGAGGCATAGTACTCCCGATGAATTTGCACACCATTTGTTTCCATGATTTCATATCTAATTAACAATCAATATGATTGATTAACACGGGAACCTGAAGAATATATAGAATGATGTACACGGCAAGATAATTCTTAAAAGTTAAAAAATCGGGTTTTTTCCCACTTAAAAAATACCTTTAAAAATAATGTAGCGTCTACTGATATTAGGGTACGTGAATCGTAGTTTATTTTCGGAAACTTAATTAGAATGTTTAATAATGTTGGAATAGGATAATAACAGATACAAATCCGGCCACATGGTAAAATTGCAGGAGTCAATTGTATTAATAAGAAGTCTGAGTGGAGACAAATGAACTTACTCACGTAATTAACTAAATGTTTGGTGTATATATAAAAATAATGAGGCTCCAGATATTCTAAAACAACAATTATTGAGAGTTCGGGTTTTTCTTCTTCTTTTGGAAAGTAATTCACAATAGATAATTATCCTGAGCTTTAATTTTATTCTGCAGCTTTTTGATTGGCCAAAATCCATAGTAAGGCAGCGTCACTCGGTAGAACTATTATTATTATTATTATTATTATTATTATTATTATTTCTCGCCTTCTATCAGCATATGTAGATAAGGAGGTTGGCGTTTGGTGGGGTATAGTTGAAATGAAAGCCAAAGAATATATGAAGTAGTCGAACAGATTCCCTTGTCTCTCTCTGAAACAGACCTCATGCATTATTCCTCACGCCTTCATCAATTTGATCCATTATTACATGTTTCCATTGATTTTTATTTTTCCCAACTTCATTTGGACGATGCTTCTGAAATTACCATTTTTGAGATGTCTTTTATTCATGATATTATCCCCTAAGATCTCTTTAACACATTCAACCTTTCTTTTAAAGAAAATAATATAGAAAACAATTCTGTAGGGAATGTGTTAAAATAGTGCAGACCTTGTTTTTCACACTTTTGAAGAGTGAAACGGAAGAGAGATATGAGAAAATGTTATAGTTTCACTTATATGAACAAGTAATTAGTATTGCCAGGGTCCGCTAATAATATTTTGGTTGGATTTTGTGCTGTTTTTTGACCAGACTGAATCCATATACCTTACAAACTTGGGACATATACGTATCATCATTTCATCCCTCTTAGGGTATATTGGCGTGACCCTGCAATATCCTGAAACTGGCCGGAAATAACACTGACTTGCTTTTGGAATTGTAAGACCCTTTAATTTGTGCGCTTTCTCGGTATGCATAATGAAGCTTCCTTATTCGCTGCTAATTACAAGCGGTATTATTCCGTAACCTAGTTTTACATTCTTTTGATCAAAATCATGCTATCAACGTAATACCCCTTAATCCCATACCTCAAGGACTTTGGCTTCTTTTGGGATTCTTTAATTTAATCTGTTATTATTTGTCGTCCTTGTGCATTGTCATTTTGTTGTATCAAGAAGCGACTAATCAAAATGAATAGTAAAAATAATACCTATGCGAAAAAGTAACAGCAGTTCAATGTCTTTTTAGGCACCCATGTCACACTACTTAAAGCTCTCACACGAATCGGGGTGAAATTCAATACTTTTTTCTTTTCCTGGTTATTTTAGTATTAGGATGAAAATCGATCTGTGCTAAAAACAATGATGTAATAATTAATATCTGGTGGGAACTCAAAGTTGTTGGTCAACCTGCAGAGAGATGCATTTCGTTTCAGTTTTAGGCTAAACTGTGTCAGCAGTCACTGGTCAGTATAATTTCCCACAAACATTGCTTTCACATGGGCTGGTGGCCTCCACACAAGTGCCTCCATGAAACTTCATAATAACAATTCAAGGCACAAATTAGACATAAATAAAAAAAAAATCATATACTTTCAGTAGTTTATCATTACAAGTTAACTTGGTAATTTTTTGTGGATGTATTTATTAGATATATACTCGTGTTTTTGAAATCGAATTCATCATTGAATTTATCACGAGCCGGTTTCAGCATCTCCAAGAGAACAGGTTAGTTTAACTCAGTTCTTAAAATCAAAATCTTGACTGCTTCTTAACTCAGTTTTTTTTTTCTTTTTTGGTTTTTTTAACCCAGTTTTTTCCGTTGAACTGACAAGTTCGTCGGTTCTAATAATAACAACATACAGCGCAACATTGTAAAATTTCTAATTTTCCAATCATTTACATACGCACCATTTTAAAAAAATTAAGAGAAGAGATTTCCATGCTTGAGCAAATAAATACAGAAAAGGAAAACTGAAAAAAAAAAAGAAAAAGAAAAAGAGAAGAATAACAGGGTTTTCCATATCTTCTGCTTAAAGAAGATCAAGTGTTTGCCCCTGCCCCTTCTTTTTCTGAGTTTTCCATTGTCTATTTCTATGCTCGACTCCAACTTCCACTTCTCCGCCTTCCCAAAAAGACAAACCCCATTATCACGCTCTTCTTTATACTCTCTCTCTCTCTCTCTTATATCTTCCATTGTTGTTCTATTTTCTTCTTCACTCATATAGATCAATACAATCTGAACCCAGAAGAAAAATATAGCTCAAATTTCGAAGCAAGACTCTAGCCATATAAAAGAGAAAGAGAAAGCATGGGTAGAGGGAGGGTTGAACTGAAGAGGATAGAGAACAAAATCAACAGGCAAGTGACTTTCTCAAAAAGAAGGAACGGTCTGATGAAGAAAGCTTATGAACTGTCAGTGCTTTGCGATGCTGAGGTTGCTCTTATCATTTTCTCTGGTCGTGGCAAGCTCTATGAATTCGGAAGTGCTGGGTACAATTGTTCCATTTCAGCCTCTCTCAAAATCATTTATTGCCTTCTCTTTAATTTCTTTCTCTATTCGTTCATGTTTTTGGCGGTGCAAATCCCAATGGGCATGTTTTCTAAATTTTATATTTCTTTCCCTCAGGTTTGTTTTTCTGATCCATGCCCTTCTTCTCTCTTTCTCGTGCGAACACGCTTTCTTCCGGCTTCACTTCTCCTTTCACCAAAATGGACACTGACCGGTTCATTTTGTGCTTCTGGGTTTCTTTTTTGTGCAATATTGGTCTTTTTATATAGAAGCTGTTATCGCTTTTTGAGATTTTTTTTCCCACTTCAATTTATTTGTTTGTTTGTTTTGGTCTTGCTTTATAGTTTTTGCAACACCGTTTCTTGGTTTCATTCAATAATATATGCATGATCTGATACCCCCCCCCCTCTCTCTCTATCACACACACACACACACACACACACACACACAGAATTACTTGAAGAAGTTTCATGGATTATTCTAGAGAGAAGAGAAACAACGTTCATTTTGATTTCCAATAACAGATCAACACGTTTTATCTATCCATCGGCGTTGCTCTCTCTCCGTTCTGGGGTAAAGAGTTTAGCTTCCAGTTACTCTTTCTGATGAAAGTACAGTACAATCGATTTCTTCTTTTTCTGTCAGAGAAGAAAGCATCAGTATGTATGAGTGAAGCAGTGAGTGGTATGCAGGTAGTACCAGGAGTTTAGTTGAAGTTGAGGGAGTAAGTCCAAGGATGTTCACTCTCTTGTCCGATGTGCAAGATCTAGGGTTTTCAACAGGGTCTCTCTCTGTAAACATTGAAAAGCCTTAAAGCCTATGGCCTTCAACTTTAACACGGTCTCTAGTGGACGACTGTCTGAAACTCTTTTGATGCTTTGATCTCTCGGATCTATCGTTGTTTCCATCTTTCTCACATTCAACACTTCTCTTATAATGGTCCCCCACTTCTTCCAGTATTCTTATATGCCTCTTTTGCATCAACTCTCTCTCTCTGTCTGTGTATACTGCCATGGAAGAATAATGACAGCTTATTTTTATCCCTGAAGGGATTATAATGGCTTAGTCAAGCACAAGGGTCTTTGGATTTTGGCACAAGTTTTCACTTTACATCCAGCCGGCCATCTCTCTCTCTCTCTCTCTCTCTCTCTCTCTCTCTCTCTCTCGGTGCATCGTTTTCTTCTTCTTCTTCTTCTTTACCTGTTTTGGAAGCATTGCGTTCGTCTTCTGCTAGATGATGATACGTACTGTGGGTTTTGTGGAAAAATTGGTTTGAAAAAGAAAATCTTGAGAGTGAGGCTTTAGTAATTGTCAATAAAGAAAATAAAAGGAACGCTTCAATAACATCAATGCCTTTTGGATTTGTGTGTGTTTTCTTCTTTTTCTTTTTTCGGCTAAGAGCCCTAATAAGATATGAATCATGGATGTATGGTCAAGCTCATGCCCTGGCCCTGGAAGAAGGTATTAAAAGGAAAAAAGCTGACTGCTTTGTCCATATAATTAATTAATTAAAATTAATTAATCATTTGCAACACATGGAATTTGTGATTCAGTTTCCGGCCCCCTCTGTTTTACTTGTTTTCCACCGTTAAAAGAACGAAAAAAAAATACTTATTTTCTCTCCTGCCACAGACAATACTCTACTTGGTCTGTTTGAAAAAAAAAAAAAAGAAAGCTTATTTTTTGAGCGACAAGATGAGTTTAATTTATTTTGTTAAATGTAAATTATACGCAAGTATAATCGTGGTTGTCGATGTAGAAATTAATTCCTTTGTATTATGAAATTCAACTTTCTTTCGTTGATAAAACTCATTATTCTGTACAATGTCCAGTAACATGTACTAATTCATCATAGACAGGTCCGATCATAATTGCTTTATTAAATGAGAGATTTAAATCTTTTTATTTGATCAGAATGGTTTTGTTTAGCTTCTTTAATTTTTAATTTAAATGATCATGTTTCTAATTATGTGCAGTTAACATATTCTTTGTATATCTTTTATTTTCACTTAAGTATATTGTTTTATCTTTTTTGATTCATTCTCCGCAATCTAAATATATTTTTCAAACAAAAAAAATATAAATCTAAAATGTCAACCTAAATAAATTAGCTTTTTATCCATTTCCCTTAAACTGAGAGACATGAATTCTTTTTCTTTTCTTTTCTTTTTTCCTGTAGTATTACCAAAACCTTGGAGAGATACCAGAGATGCACTTTTACTTCTCAAGACACCAATGTTCTCGAGCTCGAAACTCAGGTATATGATTGACAACTCCAACTAATTTCAAATTTCTTACTTTTTTAATAATATTCTACGGTAATAATTAATCTACTTTCCGAAAGTCAAATATAATAAACAAAGGAATTCATTTTTATTGTCGTGGATTCACTTTTTTTTATTGAGTTCCTTTTTTTTTTTGTGTGTGGAAATCAGAGCTGGAGTCAAGAGGTGTCAAAGCTAAAGGCAAAGTACGAGTCTCTACAGAGGACTCAAAGGTTAGAAAATATCATTACTGTTAATGAATTATGGTGACAAATCAATGACATATGATCTCAAAATGTAGCTTAATAGTCAAGAACTAGGGAATTGGTAATGTAATGTTTATATAAAATTCAGGCATTTGCTTGGAGAAGATCTTGGACCACTGAATGTGAAAGAGCTTCAGAATCTCGAGAAACAGCTTGAGGGAGCTCTAGCTCAAGCCAGGCAAAGGAAGGTATATATTCTTTCACATACTTGCTTTAAACTTTTCCCCTCATACAGACAAATTAAATGACGTTGTCCATGATCTCTTAGTGCTCTTACAATGCTTGTGAGAAATGAGGATTTTAAATGACAGTGCTCGAATTCTTATTCGAATTTGCAGACGGAAATTATGATTGAACAAATGGAAGATCTTCGCAGAAAGGTGATTTATAATTGGGACCATGGATCATCTTAAGACATGCAGTTTTTGATTATTTTCTATTAATTGAAATTTATGGAATTTACAATGAATGTCTGGCAAATCAACAAGGATCTAAAAATCTTGGCAGGAACGCCATCTGGGAGACATGAATAAGCAACTTAGACTCAAGGTGTTGCCGCATTTTCTAATCTCTGTTTATATTAATTAATATTTATTATAATTAATTAAAGAGGGGTGTTAGAGAGTTGAAATAAGAAAGAAGCGTGTGTGTGGTATGTGGTGAGCAGCTGGAAGCAGAGGGATATAATGTGAAGGGCATAGAAAGCTTGTGGAGCTGCCATTCTCAGTCAGGAGGAGCAGGATCGGGTGTGGCCGCATTTCCCAACTTCCCCCTGCAACCATCCCATCACACCAACCCCAACCCTCTGGACTGTTCTCCCCACCCTTTCCTGCAAATCGGGTATATATATCTCTCTCTTTATATATATTTATATATTGTATATAGACACACAGACACGCATAGAATTGAAAGTTTTAATTTAGACATGAAATGATGCATGCATGCAGGTACCACCATCAATATGTGGAAGCAGAGACGTCTAATAATGCTTCCAACAAGGCCATGCTTGCTGAAACCAACTTCATGCAGGGATGGCTTCTTTGACCCCGGCCGTCTCCTCTCTCTTAATCATATATACATCATCACTTAATTAATCGCTGTTATATCTGTATTTACAAGCACATTTGGGCTTTCACTTTGATATATATGCTTGTCAACATATTATACATGTATTCGGAAGCTTATCTATATTGCAGACTTGATTCTAATAGCTAGCTTCTCTTCAAAGTAATTCATATATAGCTAGATGTGTATTTTAACTAATGTATTGTGAATGTAGGCGTGTGTTTTCTTCCACTTTTTTTAGGACAGATGTAGTGATAAAAATGACAGCCGTGAAGGCGAAACCTGCCCTACTTCAACAGAAAGAAGAATGACAATAATGAATATGCAGGAAGCTAATCTTCTTTAACGCTTGGCCAAAAAAACACTTAAACGCAAACCCATTTGCAACCTTTGCCAAACGCAAACCCATTTGCAACCTTTGCCCTTCCCTCTCCCTTCTTTGCGCTTCTTCTCCTTCTCTGCACTTCAAAAGGATGCTTCGGCTTGAATAGTAGGAACCATGCCAGAGAGTGACTGGTTCTCGCTGAAGTTGTAGTTCTCGGCGATAATTAGCCCTTAATAGAGCTCCTCAAGCTTGTTTTGAATCAAATACTGTTTGGCCGTGAAGACCCTGACTGAATGGGATAGAGAAATCAAGGAAGATAGAAGCTTGAGTGATGGATTAGCCCTAAACGTGTTCTAATGGAGGAGAGATGGCAAACTGGTAAAAGCTTGAGCGCTCAATTCCTATGGATGGTGCGACAAATAAGGAAGATCTCGGCCCACGATGAACAAAAAGTTTCCCGTGAGAAGATGATTTGGACCACAGATCTGGATTCTGGCAAAGTAAAGGGATTTCATCTTATCCTTTTCTACATGCAATGTTCTTGTGTTCTTCCCTTTTCATTCGTTTAATTTTGCACTGGTGTTGGGTTTGTTTGAATTTTTATTATTTTGAAATTAGCAAGAAATTTTGTTTTTAATATGGAATTTTGGAAAAATTGTTTGAGTTTTCACCGTATTTTCTAGAGAAAAATTTGGAAATGTTCTTGTTCTTGTTCGTTTTGAATCTAGAAATGTTATTGCTTCTTCTTGTTCTTGCCTTTTTCATTTTGAATCAACAAATAAATTGATCAAGAGGTGAGTCAAAATCCAACATTTTGTATCTTTGATCCATTGCAAAGTATTGGAGGACCAATAACTAAAGCCAGAGCCAAGATGATGAAAGAAGCCATAAATTCATTAATTAAAGATGTTTTACATGACCAAGGAGTCTTAAAGATAAATGGAGTTATAGAAGACTTATTGAATTTATGAATTGAATTTTTTTCAATTGTACTTAAGGCTATTTTGATCAGTGTTGTTTTCCATGAGATGAACACAGTGAAATTTTGAATTGTTGTGAATTATCGTTCAATTACTCCCATATCATTTGGTGTTTAGAGCCTTGATTGCTTTTTCAGATTGTGTCCTTCCATCATGTTCTTCCGTTGTGTTATTCATTGTTTACCATATTCACTTTCTTATTTGTTCATCCTTCATTGTATATATAATTCATTTTCATTATGTTCTTCATTATTTATCATATTCATTTTTCTTATTCATTCATCCTTTCTTTCATATATCATTCATCCATTTTTTTTATATCTTTTCCTTCCATTCTTTTATAAAGAATAAAAAAACTCATCCAATTTGTTACTGATTTTTAAATCTCTTTCCCTTATATATTCAAATTGAAACAAAAGACAGTGTGCTCCAAAGATAAAAGCCATCATCGTTATAGGAAAAAAAATTGTGCAAAAAAAAGGTGCAAAGAAATTGAAAAAAAAAAAGAGTTGAAAAGAAAAATTCATTGGAAAAAAAAGTTAAAAAAATTGAGAAAGAGAGCAAAGATTCGATCTAATAGAAAGGGAGTTCGTATATTTTTTTTTCTAATTTGGTGAATTTTGTCATATCTTAACTACCATATCTTCTACTATCTCATCTTATTTTTTTTATTTCTCTCATCTTATTTTATCATATCATATCCCATTTAATCTTATTTTATTTCACGTATCTTATCATATCTCATTTTTACACTTTCTTTGTAATGTCAATTTCACAGTAATTGTTATATCACACCATTATTTCTCACCTAGAACTTTTTCAAATCAAATTTGAATGAAGAGTGTTTAACTACACAATAGTGATAAACATAAGTGACATTCTATTGAGTGGAACATGCGAGCAAGTGTGTGAGGTCCAAATTTTTTACCTCGCTAATCTTTAGGTACATCATAACTGAGTATTTCTGCTTAAGAGAATACTCTTCCCAACAACCTAAATTGATTATGCTAAGACTATGTATGAGAATCTTACTCAACTTGAAAGCAAACTTAGAGAAGTAAAAGCTTCCCAGGGAGATGAACATAATGGTTATAGTGAAGAAAAAGATTATTTCAGGAGGAGAAAATCTCAATCTAAATTTGACCTTTTTGGCCAAAAGGTTAAATTTGTGGATTCAAGAGTTATCTAAATCCAAATATCTATCTTGATTTGGAGTTTAAAATGGAGGAAATATTTTGATCTAAAACATGCCTAATAAAAAGTAGGTAAAAATAGCCACCTGAAAATTTTTTGATTATGCATTAATATGGTAGGAAGATTTCTTGCTGAAGAGCTAAATCATCGGTAAAGGGCCTCCCAAGTCTTGGAAAAAGCTTAAGAAGTGCATAAGGAACAAATACATGCCTCACTACTGCTATAGGGAGTTAAGAAGAAGGCTGCAATTGTTTAGCCAAGGTTTAATGACTGTGAAGGAGTATGTACATGAGCTCGATTAACTTAACATGCAAGCCGGAGTATATGAAGATGATGAAGCTTCCAAGACCTGAATTATTAATGGGCCTAGGCTAGAAATCAGAGACAAAATGGATATCTATAATTTTGTAGATAAGGAAGAGCTCGCACATAAGGCTATCATAATTGAGAAAAGGTTTCAAGAGAAACGATCAAAACTTTCAATTTTTAATTGGAGGGACTTAAAATCGATCTCCAAACTAAAGGATTCTAAGGCCTAAGAAGAAGCTAAGTCTATGCTTAAGGCCAAGGAGGAATCCAAGTCCAAATATAATGGTGAAGGTGTATCAATTATTGAAGCTTTAGTTACCATCTATTCCCTATAAGTGCAACCTTAGGTAGACAAAGAGCAAGAACTTAAGAAAAAGATAAGTTCAAAGACTAGCTCCAATTTAAAGGAGATTGAATCCATAGCTACTGTTGTTCTTAATAATGAGCTAGAAGTTGAATCAATGAAGGAGAAAGAAACATTTAATGTTGAAAATCATAAAAATAAATGAGTATATGAATCTCTTGTTATTCCAAGTACCATATTTATGGTTGAAGAAAATCTTATCAAACATGAAGAGAAAAGAGAACATATGAGTGATAGTGACTTGAGTGAAAATATTCAAGGGAATGCATATGAGTTAGAGAGAGAAAAAATAAGAGAATGAAAAAGAGGGAGAGAAAAATAAAGAAAAGGAGTCAAAATTTGAAAAAGAAGATGGAGAGGTTGAGAATGTTCTATCCACTAACATTATTAATTATTCTTTTTCTAGTTATGTTGATTCTCATTACAAGGATTTGATGATGCATTAATGAAAGTAGATAATCAATATGTAAGCATATCATTTCAAGATCCTCAAGAGTCAAGGATGACTTTCTTCAAGATGAGGAGAATGATATGATCCTGTTTAGCAACCCAGTTGGTATCCAAGATGAAATTCTAGGTGACATTCAAGATGGTATCCTGTATGGCAATCAAGTCCTAAATGACAATATATATGGCAACAAAGTCCTAGATGCCATGTTATGTCATCCAGTTATCTCAAGTTAAGTCATCCAAGTAAAAGAAAGTCCAAGTAAAGATATTTATATTCAAGATGCAACAATATGTGTTGAAAGTCAACATCACTATATTAAGAGCCCAATATACAAGTATACACTTAGAGGAGGCAAATTGGGCTATAATCTTACTTTAATTAAGCCTAAATGCATATTCTAAGCCTTATTCTCCTTTTAAGGTGAAGGTTTCAATTAAATGGAGCAATGAGCAATATGATAAACAAGCTAGCAAAGGGCATAAGAAAATTATCTTTGAACCTGAACATTGGGTTTGGGTACATCTTAGGCCTGAAAAATTTTCAAATCTAAGGAAGATAAAGTTGCATCTAAAAGGCAATGGACATTTTCAAGTGCAGGAATGAATTAATGATAATGCTTATGAAATAGACATTCCTAGCTCTTATAGAAATGTGTCAACTACATTCAACATTCCAAACCTTCTTATTTGATACATGTAATTCGAGAAAAATAAATCCTCTTCAAGAGGAAGGGAATGATAAGAGTTAAGGGACGATTCAAAATAATATTTAATACCTTTAATCCATTACAGGGCATTGGAGGATTAATGACTAGATCTAGAGTTAGGTAGGAGATGAAAGAAACTCTAAATTCATTAATTAAGGATGACGTTCTACATGTTCAAAGAGTCCTAAAACAAATGGAGTTATAAAAGACTTACTGGCTTTTATGAACTAAATTTCCTTTCAATTTTAAAGCTATTTTGATTGGCATTGTTTTATGTGAGATAATACACTATGGGATTTCAGATTATTATAAGCTGTCATTCAATTGTCCTCATATCATAAATCGTGCGCAAGTCGAGCAAGCATGGGTTGAATGAGAATTCTTTGTTTCATTGGTTGTTTGCTTACTGCACAAGAAATTCGAGTATTTCTTTTGGGTCACTTCTGATCTATCAATGTCTCCGTGTGGTCATATCATATTCTTGTTCTTGAATGTTGTTTCGCTGGTGATGAGTTTTTTCGAATTTTCTGAGTTGCACTGGTCATGTGGTTTTTGGGTTTTCATTGTGTAATCTTTTAATTACCTTCCAATCAAGTTTGTGTGGGTGACCGGGTTGCTTTGACTTCTACTACTGCAGCAGGATATTCGATCAAGTTTCTGGGTTTTTTGGATTTGAATTGATTGCAAGGGTGTTTGATTTGATTGTAAAACCTTTGAATTTGGTTCGTATCTAAAGTCCCAGGCTTTTGAGTTTTTGAAAAATGAAAATTTTTTCTCACTTTTGATCTTAGCCCAGTTCTTGTTGTTCAACACATACCTTTGTAAACATTAATTCTTAAAGAAGAAGAGTAAGTTCATTTAGGAAGAAGACATGGAAAAAAAGAATGATTGGGTGATTTTTTTTTTTTTAAATGCCACATGGCTGTTAACAGCAAAGTTAAATATACAATCAACTAACGGTCAACCTGACAATAAAACAAGATTGTCCTTTTTTTTTAAGTTTCAACATAAAATTATTTAAATGAAAGTTTAAAATATCAGACACTCTTAATAAAAAAATTTAAAGTATTTTTGGCTTAAAAAGTAAAAACTCCTATTTGAATATTGAAATTTTCATTGAAAAGAAGCAAGCTCTCTACGTGCCTCAGCAATGACGCGGCTTCGCCACTCACACGCCCTGATCAATTCGTCAATAGCAACTCCTTTTTCATTGATTTCCAACACCGGGATATAAGCCTCCAATATATTTCAAAAGTAATAAGTTCAAATATGTCCAATCAGAATTTTTTTAATAAAAATTACTTTTTTGATATATATATATATATATAACCGATTTATATACATTTTGATATTTTTGACTTTTATTTTTGTACAAAATTTTTTTATATGTTAATAATACATTTACTTTCCATCTTACATTTTCATCTTGCCAAAGAAAAATCTTTAAATAATTCCATCTTGATTTCGGATTAAACAAACCCGGACATAATGGCAAAAATATAATTGTATATTTTGAAATTCTGGTTTTAATCAAACACTTCCAAAATCCTAACCCTAATGATCAAACTTTTCTTTGATACACAACGCGGTTCCAAAGTCTATATCTTTACAATTATATTACAGCAATATATATGTATGTATGTAGCTTGTTATTACAAGTCTTTCAAAACTAATTAACGTTTACACGCTATTTTCTTTAATTACTAAAATGTTTAAGTAAAATTTGTTCTGGAGATCCTTGTCAACCAAAAAGCCAAAAGCTTAATTTCTACCACCACCATTGATCTTATTCATGACGCTTCTTTTCTTTGTTAATTGTTCCAAGGCATCTTTCTAATGATCCTTTTTTAATTATATTGTTCATGATATTGAATCCTAGCAACTTCTCATTTTTGGACATTGATTATGATATGTTAAGGGCAACTTCTCATTTTAATGTTGATGATAGATCCATGTTGAAATTTATTAATTAATTATCTCAGAAGTACTGTTATCTTTACGTTTTTTGATAAAGGTTTTGATTTTGTTAGGAAATTGCAAGAAAACACTTTTATCCTTTTTATTTTTTTGGAAATTAATTATATATATTTTTATTATTTGACTATGATACTTGATTAATCTTGTATTTAATATATTTTATCCCACCTTTTTCATACATTTTAATGATGATTTTGAGCTCATTTATGTTTATTAGATATTATTTGGATTATTAGCTAATTTTAAAAAATAATATATTTTAAAATTAATTATAGGAATTTTGGGCTTAATTGTGGATATTTAATTTTTCCTATTTGTAACATGGTTTAATTTTGCCTATCATTAATTGAGTTTAATTTGAATTATCATACATTAGTTGAATTTTTGGCCACTGTGTGGAAAATTATAATTGCTTAAAAAAATTAATTTAAAAATATTTTATGAGACATGGGATTTATTTTAAACATAATCTACATTAATAGATTTATGTTGACTTTTCAAATTATAAAAGCACAATTAATAAAATTTAATGGTGAAAATTAATTATTGAATTTCAAGATATATCCAATGATCAAGGCTTTTGAAAGATAAGGAAGAAATTATCAATATTCATTAAGAATATAGTGGTCATTTCTAATTAAAAAAATTAGAGAATGTTTACACTTTTTTTTTATCTTTTTTTTATTGACTTTTTTTGAATTCAATAACTGAAAATTTTCTTAAACTCTTCACCCTCTTTTCTAGCCATGAGATCATTTGCCTCAAAATCCTCTCTTCCTCTCATCAATTTACGCCGCCATGGGAAGAAAATTGGAAGCTAGCTCTCTGTCTCGTATTTTTCCCTTCAGCGTCCAGAATCATCGTCTCCAGCGTGGTTCTCCTCCATTCACCAAGAGCACAATTTGTCATTTTCTCCATCTTTTACTTCATTCTTCAAGTGCATTTGTCACGTCACCATCATCTTCTTTCTCTCAAATTTAATTCTCCACAGCCACGCACAGCCCATTCTTCAACTCTTCATCTCTCCATTCTGCGCCATCTCACCTCTCTAATCTCTCACCCACACCAATCCAAATTTAATCATTTCCCATTCCTCTCACTCACGGCCACACCTCATCTTTCACTCCCATAAATCTATACTTAATAACTTTGATGCAACGCTTTAGGAATGAGAACAGACCACTTAGAAACTAGGGAGACAAGAAATGGTTAGAAGCACACTACAACATTTTTGTCATTTAAAACAATTGAAAAATATTGCCTAAAGTTTTTTTTTTTTTTTTGGACAGAGTGTTGCTTAAAGTTATAAATAACAGTTTTTAAGTGTTTTCAATTCAAGCATTGCCAATTGCTTTAGGCAACCTTTTTTTTAATTTTTGACTACATTTTTTGTAAAACTATTGTCTAAAATTATAAGAATAGACAACAATTTTTAAGAAATCTATTACAGCACTTTTCAAATGTTGCTTATCACATAAAATAGACAACATTTAAAAATTATTGTAAAATAATTAAATAGCCAAAATTTAATAAAGGAATAGGTGACTCCAATTACTCATCTAACTTGAATTTTGAATATTAGAATACAATATATATATATATATATATATAATTTTTTAAATTAATTTTTAAATTTATCTAAATAATGAATTGAAAAATTAAGAGAATAAATAAAATCATATAAAAATAAATTTTTATGTGTAAAAAGACAATAAGCAATAGTTCTTAAATGTTGCCAAAAAAAAAACTCTAGAGAACATTTATATTTTTATTGCCTGTTAAAATAGAGAATATTTTTTAAATGTTACAATAAAAGATCCTTTATGAGAACAATTTATGTGTTGCCTATTTAAAAAATTTATTACAACACTTAAAAACTGTTGTCCAATTTATTTTAAGTAATAGTTTTCAAACGCTGCCAAAATTATGTTACTTAAAATAGGAGAACAACAAGATACAAAAAATGTTGCTAGTGATCCCGTTAGACAACACTTTTAAAAACGATCCCGTTAAACAACACTTTTAAAACTGTTGCAAATAAAACTATTGTCTAAGGCAAAAAAATGTTGCAATGGCAATGATAAGACACCACATTCTCACTTAAAGTCTAAACAGAAAAGAATAGTCATAAATTATATTTCTTCTATGTAATATAAAAGCAAACTTCGTTTGTATAAAGAGAAGAATAATATCTCTTCAACATTAAAACCAACTTCAGAAAGCACATATTAATTGAACAAGAAATTGCTTATAAAAAGAAGGGAGTTCTAGGTAAAAGCATGATACAGAAAAAGTCAGTGAGTGAAGTAAACAATTCACATCCCCATATAATGATCTCATCCTTTTCTTTTCTCTTGTTTTTTTGAAATTTCACCCTTAAAAGTTCACATAGATAACAAGACCGCTATCATTTTTCTCTTTAATGATGAACGAACAAATTCAAAGGCAAAACCAAATGAGAGAAGAAACAAAACGATTAAGCCTTATCCACCTAGGAGGTTTGATAACATCATGACGAAGCTTCACTTTAATTTTCTCCATCGCACCATAGAACTCTTGAAATCTTGCTATGTGATGGCTAGGAAGGAAAGAGGCGAGAATCTCTTGAAAGATCCCCCAGCAATTGTGAAAGTATATGGGAAGGTGTCCATTACACCTAAAATAGAGCCTTTTTTGTGGAACTCGTTGATGGTGCTACAGCTGTCAGAGATAAGTTAGACAAAAGGAATTGTGCAAGAGATCTACTGTGTCCAATTGAATCAGAGGTGGACACGGCAGAACTGATGTTTTGTGGATAAACAACAGAACGCATTTAGGTTTTCTAACGGTGAAAAAGTAAATGTTGACTGTGGTGAGGCTTGTGAAGGTGAAGGTGAGTGAATTTTGGAGGACAAAGGAAAATGCGAGCAAGAAGTTCAGAAGGGTGTTTACAGAAGAAGTTCCAAGGCTCGGTAAGTGGGAGGCTCCTGCAGAGGAGACTGTCAAATTGAATATTGATCTGATCGTGATTCTGTCAAATTACCCAAATGATGTTTTTTCAGACTTCACGATCCTTTTTGGATCTTAAACGAGATTACTTGGGCCTGAAGCTCTTATCCGAACGAGCACTTGGTGTAAATACAGATATACTGATACGGCATGCACTTGATATAAAGAATAACCCAGACAAAAATTAATAATTCCAGTCTTGCCTATACTATCACACTAAGCAACACTTGGAGACCCTAAAATATTGTCAAAACTTGTAGGCTCAGTAGTTTATGTAAGGCATTCACTGCATGCCCTTTTGTACGTACAGTAAGCCTCGAAACACCCCCCCTCCCAAAAAAAAAAAACAGCAAAACTATATAATCCCGCTTAAACTATCAGACTGAGCAAATAGACCACACCCAAAAAAATCCAAAAAATGTTATTTACCAATCCATAACTCGATATACAGCCGGTGCAAGTTCTTGGATTCTAAAACATCAAGGGAAAGTAGTACAAATATACAATATGCGAGTTACTGAAGATCACAAAGCGTGAGCAATGCTACGAAACAAAATGGCAATGTCCCTTGCATAGTCACCATCACTATTATTATTTATCCTACTGAGAGAGAGAGAGAGAGCCTTTAGGGTAGACATTTCTGATGTACAATGCTGAAAAACAGGTGGGGCTTACCCTTATTTTTTTTTTTTCCTTCAAAATATTTGCAGAGGTAGAGTTATAAAAATGTTCAACTAGACCTTGGAGGTAGCGGAGGCAGAATGCTTCGTCTTGCTCTAGTTTCTGGTAATCCAATGAATAACTCAGTCTCCACCTCTGAACTTGGACTGCTTTCTGTATTGGGTTGGCTTTCTCTCTGCTGCTCACCGTTTGCTGCTTGCTGTGGCTGTATACCGCACTGCAAAGGAATATCAATGCAGTTTCAATTTCGATATTTAGATTACTAGGTACAGGCAGGAAACGAGAATGTGATTATAAATAACTCACATGCTTCTGCTACAAAAAGCATAAAAAAGAGATAATTATTGTTAAGCGGGGAAATTAAAAACACAGAAGAAAGTGTATATTACATCAATTGAATTGAATTAAGCAAAATCTCAAGTTCAATGAAAAAAAAGAAAAAAAACATTGAGAAATTTTCCCCCAAATAAGGTCCAACTCGACTCAAAATCCAGATGCTAGAGATTTATCACCAAAGAGCAATTCATTCTTGTGAGAATATCGGGCGAGACAAAGGATTTTTCTATAAACATTGGTCTACATCATGGATCATCCCTAAGTCCTTAATTACTTGATCAGCACCTTCAAGAGAGAATCTCAAGTGTATGTTATTTGCAAATGATATAGTCCTAATTACAAAGTCAAGAAAACAAGGTTAACTCAACTTGAGTTTTGGAGATGGACTTTGGAATTAATAGGTTTCTACTTGAGTAGAAGTAAGATGGGATATATGCAAGGTAAGTTTAACAAAAGCAAGTTGGAAATGGTTTGAATGTAGAAAGTTGGAGATCAAACCATAATGCAAGTGGCAAAGTTCAGGTTATCTAAGATCAATAATGCAAAATGGTAGTGAAATCAATAGGAATATTATTCATAGGATACAAGATTGGTGGTTGAAATGGAGAAAAGCATTAAAAGTTATTTGTAATCACAAAGTACTTACCAAGCATAAAGAGAAGTTTTATTGAACTACTATAAAACTAATGATATTATACAGTAGTAAATCTTGGGTGTTAAAGGAACTTCAAGAGCAAACAATTACAATAGCAAAAATAAAGATGTTGAGATGAATTTATAATCTTTCAAGAAAAAGATAAGGTTTACAATAATTGTATATGAGGAAAAGTGAGCTCGGAATCCATTGACGAGACAATGGTAAAAAATCATTTAAAATGATTCAGACATGTGCAAAGATATTAATGGAGGTGCTTGTGAAGAGGATTGAACATGTAGCCTTTAGCCCTATAAGGACAGGTATAGCTAAGAATGACACTCAAGGAAGTTAACAAACAAGATTTATCTGTCAATAAATTAATATAAAAAAGTTCATTGTCAATATAGTATAATGGGATCATGCTAAGAATATAACTGATTTCACTTAGTGAGATACTTAGTGAGATATATGAGACTTTTGGTAGTAATGGCTTGTGTGCTAGAGGATCCGATTTCCCTCCCAATAACATATAGGCCTTTTAAGACATGCTTGAAAAGATTGGGTGGGAACAAAATCTAGAACCATTTTTTAGATGGTAAATAAGTAATAGAGTGGGGTAAAGGGGAATTCTGCTCTCACAGAACTCGTTTGGAACATATATTAATTGAGTCTTGGGAGGCAAAGCAAATAAATAAAATCAACCAAAGTGGATCTTAGGGTCCATTGTACCAGCTTTGAGCAGCTTTATTGGTTTCTTAAACCGGTTCCTAAGTATTTATTCATCATGTGTCTTGAATAATGAAGGGATGATGATATAATGTTAATTTCAATTGATTTATAAGGAAACTTCTCAGATCCTGAGAAATTAGAACACCCATCTGCCAAATCAAAAAGTGTTGTACCCTTTCTAATATCCAATATTCTTCATATTAATCTTATTCCATAAAGGTAATATTAGAAATTAACACTCACTCCACTCCAATGGTTACCTTGTAACTTCTAAACAATGAGGAACAGGTTATAAACTTCTCACCACTTTTTTCCCTGATCTTTCAAACGATAAAGTGAGAACTCTCCCACTGTCTGCACTTAATTCACTCTCCTCATAATTTCCAGACAAACCCAAAAATTTCCAGGCGATCAAGATCAACTTCTTAAGTTTGCTATCGGAAACTTCTAATCATAAATTTCTCCTCTTTTTTTGAATACTATTCAAAAAAAAGAAATATTCTGATGTTATGTGACTTCACCTGCTCAGAAAGCCTTGCATTTTCAGCTTCGAGGACTTTTCCCTGAAAGAAATTCAGAACATGGTTTCAATGACCAGAACTCGTGAAAAAAGAACAAGAACCTATCTTTTCTCGGTAAGTGTCATGAATTCTGGTTGATATGGACGAAATCAAGTACAAAATGTGAAGATTTCAAATTCCATAGTTTTTTTTCTTCTGCAATTTTGTAGAGGAAAAAAGCTTGAATGCAGTAATTAATTTTAGGTTTTCTTTATCAATCTCTTGAATAAGAATATGCTAACATATATTTTCTTCCAACCCAACGACATAAAATAAAATTATATAAAGATCTTGTTTACGTATCATAATTTTGTAACAAAACGTACATTTGACAGCGAACAATTCAGAACATCATCTAAACGTTGTCCTCTCATATCACGTATGAGCAAAATCAAGAGAAGAAAACGGTATTAACTTTCTTAACCTCCTGGTCTATATATCATATACATGTATGTGTATATGGAAAGCTTACCTTTGCTTTTAGCTGCTCGATTTGTTCGTTGTAAACCTGATTCTGAGAAGTCCCAAGTTGAGAATGAATTCATACTTTATACTTATTATTAACTTGGAAATTAAAGAACAATAATATATAGTTTAGTATTGGAACCTTTCTTGCTCGAATGGTGCTCACACTCTTCTCCAACTGTTGTTCTATCTGGTTTAACTCTTGTATGGAGCATGACCCTAAACCTTCCCCCAAGAGTTTCCTGAGAGATATTTGAAATTACAAATGCAGTAAAATGTTTTTTTATAGTTAGTGATATTCTATATTTGAATTTTTAAAGAAATATGTCAAGATACACAGAAATCTAAAATTAGGTCTTTAACCGTTTTGAAAGTTCAAGAAACTCGATTTTCTTCAGCATGCTTGCTGCTTCTTGCTTCAAATGCTGTCACACACAACAGATTTTTCAGGCATCAGTCCTTAGATGCATGAAAATGATCTACAAGTGGCTGAAAGAGAAAACTGATGGAATCCAAACAAATTAATCCTGCGTTTCGCTTGATCAGGCACTTTTAGGAGAGATTAATTTGAGTTTTTTTTTTTTAAATACTCCACATAATTATGTCCGGACAGCTAATTATTTTACAATTTTAAATAATTTAGTCATCAAGTTTGTTTCATCGACAAACAACCATTTCTGATATTTTATTTTCTCAATAATGTTTTTTATTTAATTATATTTTACTAGTTAGACTCAAATAGAATTATATCAGAATTGGCTCGAACCTAAGACCCGATGTAGATGCGCATGTGGTGCATATCTTATTATTTTTTATTCAACTTAGATTTAAATTTTCTAATTACAAAAAATGTAAAATAATTACAGTCCTCTATCTATTCATTTTAAGAGAAGGATAAAATAAAAATATAAGAAATATAATGATGTGATCTCATCATACAAATCAGACTTTACCAGTCTATGTATAAAGTGTGCAGTAAGCACGCATTGCTCAAGATTCCAAATTCCGGCCCATGACGATCATAAATATAAGGGAAAAAAACAATAATAATGTGTTTGGATTAATGGGAATTTGAATTTGAATTTAGATTTAAACCAAATCTCTCATTTGGATACACAAAAATTTATAAAATTGAATTTTATTCAAATCCTAATCCATTTCAAATTACAATTCCTTTATAATTTCAAATTCCCTTTACACCTTAGTCATTCAAAATTCTAATCACACCAAATATTTCATTCTCTTCTCATTTTTATTATTGATACTTCTATAACGTTCGTATATTTTCTCATTTCTTGTCAATTAAAAATAAAAATAAACTCACCATTTCTAATTTTTTATGCTCATTTTGAATCTCAACTCATCCCTCATCTTCATTTGAATTTTTTTAAACTAATTAAACAAAGGATTTTAAATAAATGGATTTCAAATGTGAGATTTGAAATACAAGTTTTCAAATCTACAATCCAAATCCATCAATCTAAACACTACATAAGCGTAAATGAAAGAGTCTCAAAATACACAAATCAATTTTCTTTCATTTCAACTTGCATAAATTTCACAAAGTCAGTATACAAACATGACCAACCATTTATTGACTTGTTGATACATTGCTAGAGAGAAATGAAGATGGAATTCAGTGGGAGTGTCCAAAGCATGAAAGCAAAGAGTTTCGGCTACAACGAAATGTAGCATCATCAGAGAAATTGGAGCAAAAGCTTTTCACAACACCTAATGTTCTAGTTTGTTATTATGATATTCACATGCAACTCCAATCTACCAATACAGAAAAATTTCTCACTGTAAGTGCATCAAAAACTGATGCATGTTAGTTGCTCATGTATAATGCACAAATATATCGTAGAGAAGATATAATATTTTAATAGGTCAAAATCTGGCTTTTGAGAATTTCCAGTCATGTACCGTCATTATTCATATGGTTTATTTCCAGTGATACAAGGAGGTATAATTATATAGATATTTGATTTTGAATATACATATAAATATCTTTGAAATAATAGAGAAGATATAAATTCACGTTTAGAACATTCTTGAATTAACTTGTAATAGCATGATGAATGATTACCTGCATATTTTGTTCACTAGATCTGTTGGCTGTTTGACTATCCCTGGTATGCTTTCGGTAGCGTTCAATCGTCTCGTGCAAACTGTTGCATTAAATCAAATATCACAACGATTAGCTACTCAAAAGCCTATAAAAGGGATGGCCTAAACACAGTTATATACAATAAAATGCCACAAAAAAAGAAAGAAAGAAAGACAGAAAGAAACAAGAAGAAAAAAGGCATGCACATGCCATATCTGCCCACAAACATGTGAGACAAACAATATAAATCAAGCGTATAAAGCTTGAAATGGGAAGAATTGCTGGAGATATGATACAAGTGACAAAGCCCATTGACTAGCGTTTTCCAAATGTTCTCTTTTAGGAATGATGTCTGTATGGTTCAGAAATACCACTTGTCGAAGTTCTATTTTTCTCAGCATTTTTGGGGGGTTTAACTTCTTGACAGTTGACAACACCATTTCCACACCCAATTGTCATGTATTCCCTAACAGTCTTCTTTCCTTTGACCCTTCACTTTGTTTATATAACTAATCCAAATTCAAGAATCATCAGGCTCAAATAGAAGAAACTCTTCAATTTAGTTTTTTCATTCCATTCATAAGATTCAAACTTTCGATATCGAGTTCATTCCACCCAACTCAACCACACAATTAGATCCTCTTATCCTTTCCAAACATGCAGCTAAGTCGTCCGGTACCATTTTTCAGGCTGGGAGGGTGTGGATGAATGTTATGACCCCTGTGAGGCTACATGTTAGAAGTATGATATTCTAATGCTGGGTTATGTAAACCTTAATTTTCCATCTGTATGAGCTTGATTTTCGGTAGGATTCTGTCAAAAATTCCATCATAGTATAAGCCATCAAGTACACCATTTTTCTGGTAGGACAATGCTCTCAATCCGACAGTATCTTTCAGTCTGGTTTTGGTTATATGTTCAGAATGAGGATTCGTTGCTACTAAATTATTCGATTCATTACAGGTTTGAGCTTTTATAACCATATTAAATTGTTATTCATCTTTATCAGTCCTGACTTTTAACAACAGCCAAGTGATCATCAACCAGTTACTTCATTTTCAACAGCTCTATTCCTATTCTGCTTTTAATTGCAATGCATAAAGGTCACCAAAAATATCCGAACAAGGAGAATTCTGATTACCTGTAAGAAGTGAAACCCAGTATGTATTGAAACCCAGTAATGTATATTATTTAAAATTTTCATTTTATTTAAATATTTTTTCTCTATCCTCGTGTACTGTAACAGAATAGATTCATTAGCATATAATGAACCTGCATTAGCATCTGATTTCAACAAATAAAAAAATGTAAAATATTTCTTTCATGATTAATTGTGATATATGTTAATTGAATTTTATGGGAAAGTACTGATCGTTTTCTATCATGCAATGGAAATTCAACTGTTACCCTTAATAGAAGACAAAAATTGAAAGGAATAAGATGTTAAATGTCATGTAAAAGAGAACAATAAAGTAACTTAGAAGTAATTTTGATCCATGGAACATTTCCCGAGATTAGCAATTCTACAACGGAATGGAAGTTGTGGCTATTAATGTTTTTGTCTTTATAGCTAAGGAATATAAATATTACATGATAATTTTCTTCTCTGATAATAATTTATTATTATTCAGAAATGAAATAGAAATAGAGATAGAAATCTAAATTTAGAAACGATGTCATGCATAAAAAGATTATCATGCACTTGTATTCAATATCAAATGAATATTGTCAAATTGAAATTTTGACGTATAAATGGAAATTTTAAAATCATTCTCTTTAATCTAATACATCAAATTATTTTTAAAAGCTACTCAAAGTAATTTCTTCAAATAATCAAAAAGCAAAGCCAAACAATTCATTCTTTTTGTTTTCATTGAAATTATTGATTTCATCCAAATTATTTATCACCTATGCAACGCATGGGATTTGAGTCTGATTTATTTGAATTCTCATCAATTACATTACAGCTGAGCTTTGAAAGCTGTATTTTCTTGGAAATAAAATTTGACAATTTTCAAATCATTTTTAATAGGGAGAATGACAAATAAATCCCCTCGAAATAGGAAAATAACAATTTGATTCCACAAAATATGATAATGCCTTTTAAATCCCAAGAGATCTAATTGACATCAAAGTTTTGATGAAATGACAAAAATATTCCTTAATTTTAAAGAATACAGCAAAGTTTTTTTCATTCACAACTTTAATTCTAAAATTTACAACTCTATTTCAGCAAATGAGTAAAGTAGTTCAAGCGTTCATAACTATCTCTCACAATTTTTCTTTAATCAACAAAGTGCATTTTTTTCATTTAAAACTTTGGTTCTGAAATTCATAACTCTAGTTTAATAAATTACTAAAGTGGTTCAAGCATTCACAACTTTTTCTCAAGAGTTTTTTTCATTCAGCAAAATGCAACAAAGTTCATTCACAACTTTTTCATTCAATAAATGATTAAAGTGATTCAAGTACTCACAACTTTCTCTCATAATTTTTCTTCACTTTTTAAATTAAGGGGTATTTTTGTCATTTCATCAAAAACTTTGATGACAATTAGATCCCCTAGACTTAGAAGGCATTACCACATTTTGTGGGACCAAATTATCATTTTTCTATTTCAGAGAGACTTCTTTATCATTTCCCCATTTTAATATTTGTATATACACATGTTGAATTGCTTGTATCTAGTGACACAACTATAATAAATTTAATTTCATGTTAGCAGGTGTTAAAATTTCTGCTTATGACATAATATCTACTGCATTAATTAATAGTAGATCAAAAGTGAGAGAAAGTAAACCATGTGTGAGAAATTCGAGAGTTTAGGGAAAGAATGACCTAGTCTACAATCACTTCAATGTTGTGGAATGCCATGAATTAACTCATGCAATAATGTCATTATTTCCCCGTCAGTGTTCTCTATGTATTTGTACCTTTATACATCTCAACGTATATAAATACGGGGTGATGAATAAAAATTAAAAATGTTAAAGATTTTTTATTTGTTATCCACAGTATTATGTACAACTTCAAAGCTTTTATGGTCATTTACAGTTTTACACATAACACACAAACTCTGACAAGTCACACTACGCATGAAACGTAAACAAGAAATCATTTCTTAGACTCCATACAATGCACAAGAGACCGGCAATAAAATTACACCCACCGTTCAATATTAAAGAGTATTTTTAATCAAATCACGCTCTTAATTAGTTAATTATCTTTAAAATTACACACTCTTTTCATATTTATCCCTATTTAATAGGATATCTCAAATAAAAAATCTTATTAATTACACCCCTAATTAAGGGTATTTTTGGGAAAAGAACCTCATTAATTGTACTTTAAAAAACTCAAAATACTTTATATTTTTTAATATCTTACCTAGAGAAAAAATACCTTCTACTACCCCCATCTCAAATTATGAGATACTTTTAAAAAAAATTCGGCATCCGAAAATATAAAATATTTTAATAAAAAAAAATTTCATTAATGATGTTTTTTCCAACATTACCATTCCAATTATATTCTCTCTCTTCAATATTTTTTTCATAAATCAAGTATTAAATGAAAGGTATTTTTCAAAGTTTTATATTTTTATTTTTAAAAGATAAAATTGTAAAGTGTATTTAACAAGCTCTATTAGTATGTATAATTTTATTTAAAAAATATCTTATAATTTAAAACAAAGGAAGAATTTTTTTTAACAGACGGAGTAAATGGTAGTAATGCATATATAGAATAAGTAGAAATATAAATATAAATTATAATTGGCGTCAACTTTAATGCATTCCAAGGCCACTAGTGACTTATTATTTAAAACCTAAACAAGCAACATCTACATTCCAACAAACATGCCATTCTTTTGGAGTAGGACTAAACTGATATGCATTCCAACAAACGCTAGTCATACAATTAAAACTATAAACTTGTGGGAACGTGTATGACAACAAATATGTCATTCTTTTGGGGTAGGACTAAACTAATAAGCATTTCAACAATATCAATATCATCAATGTAACGTGATCTTAGTTTTTTATTCGTACATCTATAATCATAGTCATCAATATCAATATCCTCAATGTATATTATAAAAGTTGGATGCTTTGCACTGCTACTGCCTTCTGTAATTGTGGATTCTGTTTTTTTTTTTTAAAAAAAAGACCTTCAATAAGTACGTGGTTCTAGTATGAGTTCATATTTTGTTTCAATGACTCGGGTAAAATTCAGAAATAAACCCTGATACTAAATAAACAAGTTCGATTGGTTTGTCAGTTAGAGAACTCTACATTAAATTCATCCCTCATAGGCGCCCCCTACCCCGGGGGGGAGTTTCAAATTGAGCATACACAAACTCCAGTTATGATTACCAGAAGGGCCACGGACCAAGTCAACAACTAGATTCAGTATCAACAGCATGACAAATGACTTAGAAATTCATGAGCGTTTTAGTGTGTGTGCGCGTGTGTGTGTGTTTTTAGGCCAGTGGTTTCTTAGTGCATTTGCTATGAGAATTTTTAATAGACAAATGCTTTTTCTGACCTCATTATCATATTATTGACGACCACATATATATCTTACTTATATTATGAACTATACAATGGATATATATAATGACAGCATGAGATTCATTAACATTTCATCATATTAATAGTTGTTTAATTAATATGTTATGCATGAATCGCACGAATTAAATATTATAAATACATTGTTAAGCATTGAAATTGAGAATCTACGAACTCAAAAGGCCATGAACTCAGATAATTTCTTCTTTCAACTGTTACTCTATTTTTTTAACAGAGCTTCAAATTACCTTTAATTAAAACTATTTACCTTTAATTCATAGACTTTTATTTTAATTAAAATTACATATATGGAAGTTGTAATTAGATTACAATCAAAAGGTAATACTGAGTTTACTCTGAACTCATTAATAAGAGTAACTATGAACTAGATGAAATAAAACTAGTCAAATTCTTTGTCAGAATTGGGAAGATTAAAGCGAGTAAACATTGAATTGTCAAGCTGTTATCATATGACCTAGAAAGACAAACATGGACCATTACATTAGGAGCTTTTATTCAGAAGTGGTACTGTACAGTAATTACAAGAACTTGCAATATCATGTGGTAATAAAAATGGTCATATGCACCCCCAGCAAGGAATAGAATGAAAAAGACAAGAACATTAGAGGTAGGTACCTTCCAAAGAAACATTCAAAGAAATCAAAGTTAGAAGTGGGTTAACTACAATACACCCCAGAATTCAAATTTTAAATAGTATAGAGACCTCAACTTGACAGAAAACAAATCAGTACAAGTTTTCCGGTTCATAACAAAGAAACACGCAAACAGTTTTGGCAAAAGGTTTATGTGTCCTTTAGTTTGATTAAAAATTAAGAACTGCAGTAGTGACATTGCACACCATTTCATGGAACATTACTTTTGTTGTCTTTGGGCACAAATATTTGTCGGACAAAGCTTACTCACATCATTGGTCGTATAAAATGTATATTAAAAAAAATAGAGTTTGGAAGACTATTTTCCCAGGCCCAAAAAAAAATTTAATTTATAAGACGATCAAGGCATATGATCCGGCGTCGGAAGCTGTTGCATAGAATCCTATCTATTTAATTATGTCGGCGAGTGGTACATTCATAAAAAGAATCGATGGTACGATTTCTATCTTCAAATTTATCTTTTCCTGTGTTATATTAAAGAGGTACAGGATCCTAGTTAGGAATGACCATATTTATAATAAAGATATCCTCACCTATTTATGGTTCACCTCTTGGGGAAAATCACAATCTCAAGTACACAAAAAATTAGAATTCTTTCAGTGTCACCTGTCTGATGAACATTCTAGTTTCTTTGGCCCTAGAACATAATTTGACAAAGATGTATTTAGACATGCAATGTATGGGGGAAAAGGAATTCTAAAATTACTTTTGATTGTTTGTTTATGGTTACCCATCAATATTTTAAATATTTAAATATAAGCCCACAAGTTATGCAAGGTCTGGGCTAAGTAGCTAAACACTCATTCAATTCAGGAAGTATTGAATGTCACGTAAAATTCATAATTTCCCTAGTAGTGAATCGCTTCTTAGTTTATCATGGCCAAGTGACATGAATGGAATAACTATTTTCTCGGAGTAATAGCACAGTTTCCAGATCTGTTTTATGGGCAAGAAGAAAATCTGAGCCACTCATGAACTCTTAACGGCGAAAAGGCACAAAGAGAAGATGCAGATGCAACTACCAAACAAGTTGAGATATCATAATAAACATGGTGTGTGTGTGTGTGTGTGTGTGTGTGTAGAAAACTAAAACGGAGACTTAATGGTGAATCCATGGAAAGTCACGGTCGTACCTGGAGCTAGCAAATTCACAAAGCTTGCCTCTGGGAGAGAAGATGATGAGAGCAACCTCAGCATCACAAAGCACTGAGAGTTCAAAGGCCTTCTTGAGGAGCCCATTACGGCGCTTTGAGAAGGTCACCTGCCTGCTTGTGGCGTTCTCTATACGCCTCATCTGAGTCTTCCCTCGTACCATCTCTACCCCCCCTTCTCTCTATTGAATCCTTAGCCAGAGAAAATATTCACAAATGAATCCAACGGAAATGTTTAGAAATATACAGGAACTTGTTAGCTTACAATGGTCAGAAAAAACAATAAAATACTCCTCACCCAGAAATCTCTAGAGAGGAAGTAGTGAATTTCAGCAGATCCGAGCCCTTCTCAGCCTAGAACTCGAAACTCCAGGAAGCTAAAAGTAGAAAGGAAAATGCATCAGATTAGTACTTTTCATCGATATCAATGGAAAACCCAATATGAACTTGAGGGGTGGAAATGACAGGAAAAAAAAAAAAAATCGGAAGTCAAGCCAAGGAGAGACCCAAATTTTTCAAAACCAGCTAGCAAAAGCAAGTAATCCATAAAATCTGCCAGTCCCTTTCAGAGAAGGGATCAAAGGAAGCAAAAATCCAGGTACAGAAACGGGCTTTGACGATAAATACCTAACGAGGAGAAAAAGCAATAGTTCCAATTTCAAGACACAGCTAGTTAAGAAAATTAAAAGCGGGTATGGATGTATGGCCGAGAAAAGGAATCAGAGAATTACATAAAATTAGCAAATAAGAACCCAGAAATGCTCAGGGGAAGGAAGGAGGAGAGAATAAATAGTGGGGTGCACAGAAAAGGAAAGAAGGGACAAGGGATGGAGGCAGGAGGCCCCCCAATGGAGCGCAGAGAACCCAGAAAGGGAATGGCTAGAGAGAGAGAGAGAAGATGACAAAAGCAAAGCAATGGTGGAACTTTATGAGTGCATTGACTAATATTGACTAATTGATTCCTTGTTTTCTCTTTTTTCCCATAAATGTACATAATATTGTCAAAATCAACCGAACTAAACTGTAAAATTTATAATATAATATATGATAAGTGTAATAATAAAAAATTTTATATATATTGCATTACTTAGATTCCAAACATGTAAATCAGTGATATATATGATTTAGAGGAGGAAAGGTAGCCACGGAATCAACTTTCCATATTGATACATTGCAATTCCACCTTGCATCGGAAGGCATCCATGCCCCCACCATAATAAGAAACCAATCATATAAATAGTAATGCGTTTTCAAACCTCTTTCTTTTCTTGTTTTGGTAAATCCCCAGTTTACTCAATTACTGTCAGCCCACAAAAGCTTTTGCTTCAAAACTTCACGAAAATGATACGCCAACCCAAATTGTTTTTAGAAGAAGAAGAGATAACAATCACTGCTCCTTATTTTGGTTCGGTGATTCGGTCAAGGACGTGAAATCCTTGATTTCTCTCAAGACTCCTCTCTCGTCTTAAACTTTTTCAACAGCCAGATTAGATATTAGCTATCTCTCAAAAGACAAAAAAAAAAAACCCCAACAACTACTTGAATATTTAGAAAAAGAGAAACTAGAAAATTGTGAGTTGAATGCAAGAGGGTGAAGAATGAGGCGGGTCATGAGGGAGGAAAAGAAAGGAGGAAGAGAGAGAGGGAGAAGTTAAAAAGACATCAACATCGGTCCGTACAAGGACGTACGCAACGGACCAATCAGAAGTCGAAAACGCAACATCCTGTCATCATTGCTTTTTGGTGTCCTGTGGAGCTCAGCTTTTTTTTTTAAATTTCATTCACATCCGTTTGCCCCACGCACGACATGATCACCTTCTTCCACCTTGCCATCCATTACTGTGTACTCCTCCTTTATAGTAATTACCTTGTATAAACATAATTTAATTCATTTTATAAATAATTAGTTGATAAAATTATTTTATTTTAAATTAAAATTTTCAAATTATTTTTAATCAGTAAGAGAAACAAAAAAATAAAAAATAATATTATATTATTTATTTATTATTTAAAAATTATATTTAAAATTTTACTTATTTTTATTCTTTATATGTTTATTCTATTGATGTAAATAAAATTAATAAAAATAATTTATAAATAGAACGAGGAGTACTGACGTATCACCCATGGTGTTTCTCTCTTTGATTTGGCCACCAATCAGATTGCACGGACACACTCTTGACTCTTCTTATTTATGGAATCCTATCATAAACTACAATCATTGCCCTCCGTTAATCCTTCCACGCGTCACGTGATCATGTCCGCGCAGTGCCCCATGCCCAGCATTCCCCACGTCTATTCTACTTTTCTTCTCAGTTTCACAGTCAATCTTAAATTATTTTTCTCCACTATTAAATGTCCATTTAGAAATATTTATTAATCTTAATAATTATATTTAAAATTAAAAAACTTAACCTAAAAATATTCTTGTCATTAATGCAACAAGTTAAAATTATGCTTGTTTTTATTAAAAGGAATCTAGGCAGCTCGAGATCCTTTTAACTAAACTATATGAAGCAAGGTGAGAAGTAAAAATTAGTTAACAATCTTAACCGTTTTCCCCCCTTCAAAAATGACAATATCTTTCTAAAAGACTAAAACAACCTGCGTTAAATTGAAGAGTGGATCCGCTCGATTTTCTGCATTTTCAGTAATATACCATGAATTTTATATCATCGTCTAAAATGACTTTCATACTTCATCTGATCTCTTATACGATTCACATTTAATAATGATTTTGTTGTTCTAAATATAAGCCACCTTGCATCCGTTTTTTAAGGTGTTTAATTCTATAATTGCCTTTCTTCTATATTTCCAAATTTTATGTCATTTATGTGTGTATTTTTAAATGGATGGCATGAGTTATAGGGTAGATATTAAAACTTCTTCAATTTTAAAATAATCTTAATAAGCTAACTAACCTATCTTAATCCCATTGAGACAATTAAAAGTACCTTCAAAGGATTATCCCTGCTCAAGAATCAAGATTTCTCAAATAACATAACCACAAGATTGTCCATCCATTGTCACAAGAAGAATATAGTTTGCCCGCGCATCTTCTCAAAGAACAGTCCATGATCTACGATTGTCCGTGACATTTATTTTTATGGTTGTTATTTGTCAACATTGAAATGAAATGGAATGATTTCAAAAAATAAAGCAAAAATTAACTCAATTACCTTTTTCTCTTAATAAATATAATAAAACTCATCAATAAATATTTTAAATATAAAAATTATCACACCTTTTAAAAATTTTATGAATTATGATTTCCAACTTTATAAATTAAGTTATCCTAATTCTTTATAAATATACTCACATATCTCTTTTAATTATCTTATTTTTTACTTTTATCTTTTCAGTACATTACGTTTCTTTTTAGTAATCAAACAGAACCTATCAACACTTTATATTATTTAGGATTGAAAGAGGTATTTAGGGACAATTAAAAGGCATTAAAGACTAGGCGGGTAATAAGCTGCCACAAGTAACATGTTTTGTTTTTTTGAGCTAACCGTTTAAAGTTTTATTGCAAAAGACACTATAACGTGATTTGTCTCAAAACAGATGTCTTTGAATATATTTGTATACTCCCCCTCTAGATCATAATGCATTTATACAAAACTTATAAAAGTCATATTCGGTCTAAAATATAGGATATTAGGTAATTTTTAAAATAAAAGGGTAAAAATATTCTAAAACTTTTTCGTAAAAAGTGCTTGGTATCTTAAACTTTTTTCAGAACACTTAGAACTTTGAAAAAAAGTGTAATTTTACCTTGTCATCAATGTTAACCTTTAGTTGACACATTTTAAAAAGATTTGGATTCTGGCTCAATCGTCTTCGTCTTCACTAGCTACCAAAGCCATTAGAGCATCTTCAGCTCGTTAGGACTCTTCCCTCTCCTTTACTTATCGTCACTTGAACCTCCCTATTGCTCCTTTGATTGCCCAACCTACTTCTACTTTACTTGTATTTTCTAATGTTTTTGCTACGTTCCTTATCTTTTGTTATAGGATGCTTGTGCATGTTTTCTGAGTTAATAGGTCATGGATAGTAAAGTAGTAACTATTCACTTGGGTAAACTAAAAAATGATTAAAAAAGTTAAAGGGCAAAAATGCTCCAGAACTTTTTTGTGAAAAGTGCTTGGTGTCTTAAACTTTTCTTGAAACAATATTGCTTCAGAACTTTAAAAAAAGTGCAGTTTCACCTTATCATCAATGTTGACCTTTAGTTGACACATTTTAAAAACATTTTTTTAAAAAAGCAAGACTTGGATTCCAGCTCAATAGTCTCTGTCTTCATTAGCTGCCAAAGCCATTAGAGCATCTTCAGCTCATCAGGACTCTTCCCTCTCCTCTACTTATTGTCACTTGAACCTTCCTATTGCTCTGTAGCTACCCAACCCACTTCTACTTCACTTGTATCTTTTAAGGTTTTTGCTGCCTTCCTTATCTTATGTTATAAGATGCTTGCATATGTTTTCTAGGTTGATAGGTCATGGGTAGTAAAGTGATAACTATTCATTTAGGTAAACTAAAAAATAATTGAAAAAGAGGGGGTTTCTATGTTAGGCATGAAACCAAAGGAAAACGCACCAATCATATGTTAACCAAGCTCTAGTAAGCATGTGATTCCAGATTTGTCAAGTCAAAAGCATACTAAAGTCGGATTAGAGCTCAGACCAGTAGCAAAATGACATAGTCCAAATCTTGGATAAGGATTTCATTCCTTATATTGAATGCTTTAGTTTCCTCAAGCTTTAAATATTGCTACAAATGTTTTGCTAAATCATTACAATTTGTAGTGAATGAAAGAGCAACATCTTTCATCATTATCAAAATTCAAATCTATAATTGAAAGAGGCCTTAAAATCCAATGGCAAGCTTTTTGAAGGAAGTATTGCATAAAGTCGAGTGTCTTGTAAGGTGCAATTTTTTCAAACACATGTTATTAAAAACATTGTGAAGGGATACAACATACATCAACAACTAAACATCGAAACAATGTGAGAATGATGAATTATTGATGAAAAAGAAAATCAATGTCAAAGGGAAAAGCAGCTGTTGCACTAGTTAAGACATAGAGAGGCATAGGAATGAAAGGTGAAGCACCACTATTGACTCCAATAAGTGGTGCTGCTAGCTGTAGCTGTAACACCACCATTATTACCCCCAACACATAACTAAAACCTCCATAGTAATATAAGATTAACCCATATTAACTATCATTTCATAATCAAATGCTTTAACTTTAATTATAAAAGGACTAATTATAGTGGAAAGGAAAAGATCAATTCAAACATATACTATGATTAAAATGTTTAAAGCCAAAAAATTATCACACAAATACTCACTCTGTAGTAGAATAGTTCAAAATTAAGTTATTTAAACTCAATACAAACTTAAATGATCAAGTTAATTAAGTTCAATTTAGAGATAATAGTAACAAATGGGGTCCCAACTTTAAATAATTTAAAAACTTTAAATCTAAGTAAAAAAATAGATTAAATTAAAGTTACGAGACCTATGAAAGCATAAGATACCAATTTGACTTGAAAACATTTACAAAGAAGGTCAAAAATAATATTTCCACACAAAATGAGTCATCCATTGTGGCCAAGGGACAACGCATTGTGACCAACAATTGTTTATGCTATGCACTGCAGTGCATTGCATAAAATATGGCAACATTCTACTGTCACACGATAGATCCAAGGCCAAACTTCCACCTGTCCTAAATCTCTGTTCGACATCTAATTGAAGTAATTTAAGTACCTTATTAAATAAACTCGAACTAGTCATATTTTTACATTCATAGTTAGAGTGTCCAAAACTTAAATTAAATGTTAAAAGCTCAACCTAACATCTAGACCACACTTAAGGGACTTAAGACAACATGT